CATAAGCCATCACACCTGGCCATTTTAGTTGTAATAATTTTTACATTTTTCTAATTTAAAATATTTCCTAAAATCTATTATTTATGAATATAGTATTCATTATTATTACTATTATTTTGTATGTGTTTAATGTCATTTTCAATATAAGCTCTTGGAAATTAGAGAACTTGTCTCTTATTCTTGACTGTATTCTCAATACTTGACCTTGCCTGGTATGAAACGGATATTGATTAAATATTTGTTCAATGAATGAATGAATGAACATACTCGTACCACATTGAACAATTCTCCAAGTATCACAGCTTTCACCATCTAACAAATAAAATGGCTTGTATAGAGCAGAGCCACAGTCAACCCGCCATAAAAGGAAATGTCAAGGAAAATGAACCCTTTTATGTGTAGAACTAGAGTTGGTTGGGTTTCTGTCACATGCAATCACCTGAGCTGACCAGCCTGAGCTACATAATAAGACCCTGTCTCTGAAAATAAAAAATTAGCTGAGCATGGTGGTGCTCACTTGTGGTCTCAGCTACTTTGGAGGCTGAGGCAGGAGGATTCCTTGAGCTTTGAGTTAGAGGTTACAGTGAGCTATGATGGCCGCACCACACTCCAACCTACGGGGTGGGAAAAGAGTCCTGACTGATGACTTGAGTCACCAGAGAAAGTGCTTACTTTTCACAAAGTACTATTTGAGGCAGATCTATTTGAGGCAGTTCACTATTTGAGTGAACAGGAATTCCATGCTTTCTGTTAGGAGGAGAGTGTGGGTGTAGTTAGTTAATGCTGATTGAACTATCTTTGGAATCTCATCTGGTCTATCTGGTCTATTTATATGTGTATATTCTATCTGCTGTCTCACTGAGCTTTGCTAGTTTATGCTGCAGTAACAAAAGCCCCAAAGTCTCACCAGCAGATGAGATTCTGAGAAGTCATCACCGAACTCAAAGTCACCCAGATTTTCCCCAATGTTATCATCTAGGAGTCTTTCCGTTTTGCACCTAACATTCAGGTGTAAGATCCATTTTGTGAAAGGTGTAAAATCCGTGCCTAGATTTATTTATTTTTCACATGTGGATGTCTAGTCATTGTAGCATCATTTGTTGAAAAGACTGTCCTTTCCCTGTTAAATTGCCTTTGTGCCTTTCTCAAAGATCAGTTGAGTATTTATGTTGGTCTGTTTCTGAGCTCTGTATTGTTTTCTAGTGACTATTTGTTTTTTCTTTCTTCACCGATTTCCACCCTGTTTGGTTACTGTATCTTTATAATTAGTACTGAAGTTGGCAGTGTCCGTTCTCTGGGGGTTTTTCTGATCTTTACAGTGAGAACCTGGTTGGGCTCCTGGTGGTAACACTTAGAAAATTGTGAGATCCCCACTAAATCTGAGCCCCAAGAAGTTTATAATGCTCAAGCCAGGCCACCCTCAGCTTCTAGTGATGTGTGAGTACCATTTAAGTGCTCCTCCCAGTTGCTGGCTTCAGCAGCTTCTGTTCCCTGTATTTGCCTGTGTGTCTTGTTTTCAGCATGGCGATTTGCCATGTGACCTCTCCTCTAGCCCCTCTAATAAGGGTTGATAATTTTCAGTTTGTTCAGCTTTTGTCTTGTTGTGAGGACAAGTGGTGACCTCCTAGCTCCTTACGAGTTGGAGTAGAAACCAGAAATATTATTTAACAAGTTAGTCGTAATAAAAGTCACTAATCGTAAATGTAGAATTGAATGATTTAAGTGGACATATAGAATTTTGCAGCCATCACCTCAGCCCCCTCTTAGAATACATTTCTTCCCTCCCCAGATTCCCGAGAGCCTCTTTGCAGTCATTTTCCAATCCCTGGTCACCACGACGGAGCCTGAACAAAATAAACATTTGGAAAACAGACAACATTACATTTCACCTTTATTAGATTGGAATTTTATATAATGGACCATTGTCTTACTCTTGTGGCAACTAGAGGAGATATTTTATTCTAAGGACTTTCTTTGGGAGAACTTAGTAGTAGTCTTGTTTATTTCTGTCCTTGAATTGGTTCATTTATGCTGGTGACAGATGGTTGCTATCAAACCTTGTCTGGTGAG